CCCCCCCCCCCCCTTTATCCTCTCCTCGCACCGCCCAGTCACCATGGGAGGGGGGCTCTTGAAGACGACGGCGACGCCTCCGTCTCTAGCGCGAGAGAGCTGCGCCGGGTGTGCGGTATGTACCGAGAGTTCCTCGACGCCTCCATCGGGCTCGGGCGAAGTCTGTGGACTCAGTACGACACGTCGCTCATGTGGTGGGGGCTCGCGGTCCTGCTCATCGCCGCCGCGGCGCTGGCCTTCCGAGCGGTCTCCTCGTCGATGTCTTCTTCTCCGGCATCCTCTAGGGATTCAGGTGTGCGTGGATGTGTTACAGCGTGAATGTTTTTTTGCTCTGGAAAATGCGAAAGTGGTGTTGCGCATCGTCCGCCTTTTGGCTGTGCATGCATGTGGTGCGCTTCCGGCGGACGACATGTTCGGGCGATTCAGGTGCGAGAAATATGTTATACTCTCTCCGGCAACGCGAAAGTATTGGTACGCATCATCCGCCTTTTTTGGCGGTGCGTGCCTCGTGTTTTTTTTGGCGCCTTCGTCGTTGTCGTATCTCGAGCGTTGGCGTCGCAAGATGCAAGACCCGGTGTCGACTGTCGCAGGAGTTGCAGCGCCGACCAAACGCGGGCAAGAAGATGTAGTCCTCCTAGATACAGACGAAGCATCATCATTGAAGCCGACGGTTTGTTTTGCAGCGAAGATGTAGTCCTCTTAGATACAGACGACGCATCATCATTGAAGCCGACGGTTTGTTTTGCAGCGATATGGCCTGAGGTTTTAGTATTTCCTCTCTTGCTCTACTCGTCGTCGTCGGTTGTTCTCCCTACCCCTTCCCCTCGTCAGGAGCGGCGGCGGTAGGCGCGGCGGCAAGCCTGGCGACAGCAATCCTCACAGACCTGGTGTTCGGCTCCTCCGGTGCGCACGTCTTCGCCGCAAAGGTCGCCATCTGTTCCAGCGTCGGCATGTGCATCCACTACGCGCAGGTCATAGCCTCGGCCGGGAGTTGGACGGCGTCTGGTGCGGCTCCTCCGTCCTCTGCCGGCGTGAGAACGATGACGGGGACTACTAAAGGAGGCGGTAATTCCGTTGGCGTCGCCTTTACGACGGGCCTGTCGGCGCTGTACTGCGCCGGCCTGTTCAGCAACAGCTTCATTGAGGCGGAGGACGGGCTCCACCGTTTCCTGGGCGCATCCTCCCTCGTCTCCCTCGCCGTCTTGATCCTCCTGGTGCCCTCTCCGCCGCCGCCCGCCGACTACGACTACGACGACATACCATCGTGGACGGCACGTGCGGTGATAAAGAACACCGGCAGCAGCGACGGTAGTGGATTCGCGAGTCCGAGATGCGACGACCGGTTGGGTCTGCTTCTGGGGCTCTCCCCCAAGTCCACGGCGGCGCTGTACGCGGCCCTGGCCGCCGCGTGCCTGCGCGCCGCCGCCGCCGTGCAGGACTCGGCGGCGGAGGGAGGGGTTTCGACCGAGGCGGCCTTCGGGGTCTCCCGGTCCCTGCTGCCCCTTCCCGCGCTGTGGTATCTCTGCCGGCTTGCACGCGGCGGCGGCGGCGGCGGCGGCAACGACGGTCTTACGTTGTGGGGGAGGGGGGCGGTTGATGTGGCCAGCACGAGTGGTGCTCCTACGGCGGTGTCCTTGTCGGGTGGTGTGTTGGAAGCGGTCTCGGGGTGGGCTCGTCGGCGCTGCTCCCACGGGGCGGTGCAAGCCTTGAGCCTCGCGGCCATCGGCACATACTGGGTCAACGAGGTAGTGGTAGCCGCCGCCGCGGAAGCGGCGAAGGAGCACGGCATGGGGGCACCGGTGGCGGCGGCTGGCGGGCTGTCACAAGGTGGAGCAGCGGGAGCGACGCTCTTTGGCTCGCTGCTGCCTCCCGGGAGGCTTCTCCTGCCACGGGCGACGTACCTGTTGTGCCTAGCCGGACTGGCGGTTGCGTTGCTGGGCCCGCATGGGCGGCGGCGGCGGAAGCAGCAAGACCCGGTCCCCCAAAAGGGTGAAGAAGGGAGAACCTGCACGCCGCCTGGGTGGAACGGATCGTCCTCGTCTTGGTCGTACGCGCAGTCGTTGGCAGGCACGGCGGCGACGGTGGTCTCCCACCTCCTTCCGGTGGTCGTGCTGCTGCTGGGACCGGGGTCGCCCGCCGTCGTGGCATTCGTGTCGGCGGCGTGCGGCTGCGTATTGGGGAGCGTCTCCGTTGTGGCGGCGGGTGGGACGACCGGCGGCGGCGGCGGCGGCGGTGCGGTTCTTCCGCTTGGCGCGGTGGCCGTCTCCTGGTCGGTCGTAGGACGCGCGTTTTTCTTCTTGACGGGACACCACAACCAATTCAGCAGGCTTCAGTACTCGGCAGCCTTCGTCGGTGAGTTAGGGTTAGGGTTGGTGGTTCGGGCACGAGGCCTGTGTGTGTGTTGGTGGGTGCGCGCGTGCGAGATGATGATGATGATGACACGAAGGAACCTCATGTATTCTGCGTCGGTTGGGTGTCGACCGTGCGGTTTTGTTGTTTGAGTTGGCCACAGATATATGCATGCACACGTGCTTAGCTGGCGAAAGAGCCTCTCTGATTGTTACAACAACACAGCAGTGTCACCTTCATGGTGGTTTGATGGTGCGTCCTTTGAAAGGCAGCCTCGTCGAACCCCGTCCGGTGTGCCCCGCAAGACTGCAAAGGCGTTTTTTTTTACGCGGTTCCGTACGCACCGGCGACGTGTCTCCGATTTCTTACGGGAAAACTTTGGAGAGGTACAAAAGTTGCCTCTCGGCCCGGCTCAACAGCAGCAGCGCCATCGATCACATCTTGCAAAGAACGAAGTACGTACGTAGTCCTCGCACACCTGTCCGTCGCCCCCCGTCTCGTCCCGAGACTCATGTCCCCGTCCCCCGTCACCCTCACCCACCTTTTGCGAACGTGGTCCGTTCTTGCCCGCCCTCGTTCGATGATATTCGCGTCTGTTTTTTTGCGTACTCATCACCAATCAGGCTTCGATGAGTTTGACTTCAAGGTCGGCGGCGTTCTGCTGTTCCTCAACACGTTCGGGACCGAGATTCTCGCGGCCCTCGCGCTTCCGCTAGCGGCCGCCGCCACCGCCCCAAGCGGAGTGTCTCAGAATGCAGCCCCGTCAGTGCTGCCCGGGGGTGTCAGCGGTAGCAGTGGGCCGAACGAACGGCAAGCGCTGTCTTCGCCGCCATCACCTCGGCCGCACTCGGTGGCCGGCCGCTTGGGCGGGAACCGCCCCGACGACGCCAGCGATGATGCTGCGGTGGAGGCGGAGGCGGAGGCGGAGGCGCAGGCGGAGGCGCAGGCGGCCACGAGCATCTTGTCGGCCATGGAGCGGCTGTCGGGCCTCACCCTCCTGCTCAGCGCCTTCCGCACGTTCCTGTCCGCCGCCAACGTGTCGGTTCAGCGGGGACACCTCATGCTGTGGGCGGTCTTCGCGCCCAAGTTCGTCTTCGACGCCACCATGCAGGCCGTCTGCGGGGCCGCCGCCGTGCTCGCCTGGGCCGTTGTGGTCGTGGCGCACAGGGCGTACTGCTGTGAAGGGCGGGGGGCGGCGGGAGCAGGGTGTGGGCCGTCGCTGGGGAGAGCAGCGCGCCCTGCCTTGCCGCCTAGAAAAAAGGGGCGGTAGTCGTGGCAGCAGCAGCGCATGCATGTATATGTAGTTGTTTCAAGACTTGTAATGGTTATATATTTTTTGTGTACGCAGGAGTCGTAGCGCCAACTAAACCTGGAGATTGTCTTTGTTCTTTTGGAAGTGACGGGTAGTTGAAGCAGCATATGCAGGCAGCTGTGGCAAGAATCAATTATTTTGATCCTGAATATGTCAGCAGCCAGAGCGCTAACTGGCCCTATGAGATTTTCTTGCGTGCTTTTTTTTAGGGCGGCAGCGCGGATGTAGTGTAGCGCCACGGAGGGGGAGCGAGCGTGATATAGACTACGTACGTACGTACTAGAGTTGTGGGGATGCATGAGCAGGCGAGTATCCTCACCTCTCTCGGTCGGAACGGATGAGAGCGGCGGCAGGCAGAATCCTGCCATGTGTGCGGTACAGTGCGTACCGTTTTACCTTTGCCTGGAGGGAAAAAGACGATACGGCAACCAGCTTCGCTCGGTCTCGGGGGTTGATTTCTCCGTGTGTTCCCCCGTGTGTGTAGAGACATCAGCTCAGGTCTTGATTCTCTGAAATATATCAATATTGATTTCGTTCCATGAATAGGGGGAGAAAGGCATGACGTTCGTCGTTGTTTTGTTAGCTTCGTGTTTGTCGTCTTTTTGGAGCATGCGAAAAAAAATGCGAGGTGATTTGTGTAATCCCGCGGTTCAAACACCCCCCACCGCCCCCACCCACATCTCCTCGTGGGCATAAGGACATGGCCCTGCTTCGGGCAGCGCGCCGTCGAACATCCCAACCGTGTCATAAAAAAAATTCCTCCCCGCGGAGCCCCCTAGTTGTAGGCTACTCTGTAGCACGAAGAAAGGACAAACACCAAAAATAGTAGACGGCCTGGTCCCTCCAATCTCGTTGTTGACAACACTTGCGTATAGCACAGCAGCGAAACCCATTGAAACAAGCTCTCACCCAGAGCGCTACTTGCGCCAAAAACACAGCGAGATTCGATTCGGCGATACCATGTTTGTATCGTAAATTATTACACTGACGCCCACAACAGAGAAAGCGCAGGACAAAAGAGAGATCGCGTGAACGAGGATGATTCCGCGCCACACGAACAACATCTGGTCGTGCATCTGCACCAATCACCCAGTATCGTATAAAGTAGTACGTTCATAAACTATGACTGGCCTTACCTGGGATTCGCCCTCTTGACGGCAGGCACACTTGCATCGAATCGACCACACACGTGGACACCAATGAGTACAACGATGGGGAGTGTTCGGACCAGACACACCCGAAGCAACTGGATTCCAAAAAACAGGACAAGAACCGCACGCTAAAAGCCCTTGAATATATCCAACCATTCCGCATATTGTACATGTGTGTGCGGGTGGTCTGATCGCCAACATTCTGGGGTATGTGAGGGAGGCCCAAGACTCGAACCCCCGGTCGAGGAGTGGGATGGTCTCGATCAAGAACAACACGCTGATTTCGTGATGAAACAACAACTACACTCCACTCGAGATCCGATGTCGTGTCGTTGGGCGGGGGGCATACGCCGGGCGAAAACGAGTTAACTTTTCAACACAAGCCCATTCGCAAAGAGCCAAACACGCATCTCATCACAGCCAAGTCGCAGACCTTGTGCCATTTTCTATTCAAGTAAGCCCACAACACAACACCAACACCCTCCTCCCCCCCTCCCCCCCTCCCCCCCTCCTCTAAGTCGCTCATCTGCCGTCGCCGCTAGAAACGCTAGAAAGCCGCGGCTAAGAGTCTACATTCCATCAATCAGTGGTCCGGCGTTGGTCCACTGCCTGGCCACAGCAGCGGATCGCGCCCGCCATCGCTTTCAACACGCCGGCTCGTCGGCGACAGGTCCAATCGCCCGACTCGCAAGGCCTCTTGTCGCCAAAGGGAGGGTAGTTTCTAACCCGTCAACCCAGGCTTCCCGCAACACCGACGCTTCGGACGGCTTGGCCTTCGTCCCAAGGCCGGCTGCAGTTTCAGGCGCCGCCGGCGCCGTCCTCCCCGCCTACCCCCGTACCCGGGGAGATACGGAGGGCCCTCCAGTCCTCTCCCGTTCTTCGAAGCAGCAGCAACCGCTGCAAAGGCTGGCTGGGAGTTTCAAGCGCCGCGCCGCGGTCTTCCTCCCCGTCAACCCGAAGCGCCTACCTAGGAACTACCGAGGGTCCCTGTTGCCCTCCTGCGTTCTTCGACGCAGCAACAGCACCCGCTGCCGCTGCCGCTGCCGCTGCCGCTGCCGCTGCCGCCGCTGCATCGGTCGCGTCGGCGCCGTCTTGTGGGCTACTCTTGCCGTCCCGCTTTGCGGGTTCCCCTGCACCGCCGTCGTCCACATCCATCGGATCGGAATTCACGACAGAAGCAGCAGCAGCAGCCGCGCCTCCCTCCTCCTCTTCCTCCTGGTCCTCCTCCTCCTCGTCGTCGTCCTCGTCGACTGTGCCGCCTTCCCTCCTCGCGACCCCGCTATTGGTCCCCGTGCCGGTTCCGCCCGCGTCCCCCCTAAGCTTGCCCTTCCAGGCGCCGTGAGAGCGGGGCTTGGCCTTGGAGCGGGGTCGTTTTCTACCTACCACCTTCAGGCGGTCGTATATTTCCTTCGCCGCTGCGATCTCGGCCTCGCTGAGAAAAAATACAACGGTTGACGGTCGGGGTTGAAAATATCGTCGGGGGCGCGTTGGGATGTAAAGGGGCGAGGGCGAGGGGTGTAAGGGGCGAGGGGGCGAAGGAGAGGCGGGAGAAAACTCACTTCTACAAGGGTGTTCTCGTAAGGAGCGATCCCCCGCGTGATACCGCGCAAAATTCAAGGCAGAATCCAACCTCGAATAATAGTATTCCAGGGCCAATGTAACGGGGGGGGGGGGGGGGGGGAAAAAAA